CATTTCCCTCTGCTCTGGACTGGATGTGCTTCAAGATTATACCACTGGGACCTCCCTACTTTAAAAAAAAAGATTTTATTTATTTATTATGTATACAACATTCTGCTTCCATGTATATCTGCACACCAGAAGAGGGCACCAGGTGTCATAGTGGATGGTTGTGAGCCACCATGTGGTTGCTGGGAATTGAACTCAGGTCCTATGGAAGAGCAGTCAGTGCTCTTAACTTCTGAGCCATCTCTCCAGCCCTGCTTTTGTGAACTGAACCTGGAAATGTGAGGTAAAACAAAGCCTTGTCTCCCCTACGTTGCTTTTTGTCAGGGTATCACAGCAACAGAAGTGAAACTAGGATATACATGAATGCATACATACATGCATACATACATACATACATACATACATACATACATACGTATGTATGAGCTGACATATTGGCTTGTAGGAAGTATCATTCAAACTACAAAACAGTGTGGCTCCTTCAGTGGAATCCAGCAGTGGGAAATGGTGTTAACCTCTTCTGTGGCCAAAGATAAGATTGGAGTCTGCCTTGCTCTTGCACTCCTAGGTGTTGTCTTCTCTTCAAGTGTCAGGAACTGTGTGTAACTTCCCCAAGCCTCACCATTTTATAATATACCAATCATATTGGGTTGCTGCCTGCTTTAATGACCTCATTTTAGCTGATGACCCTTGCACAGAGGTAGCTCCAAATAAGGTCACACTCTGAAGCACAGGGCATTGAGACATACGAATTTTAGAGCTCAACTTCTCAGTGCACCAACAGATGACTCATGGCTCACACGTTTGGGGACAGGGATAATTGCTGTTATTGATCTTTGTTCTGAAGGCTCTAACTAATATAACAAGGCAAGAAAAGAAGCTGATGCTAAATGCTGGGAAGGCAGTGATAAGCGTACCGTTACTGAGAGATGCCCTTATTGTCTACATGGAACTTAAAAGCTTAGGGGAAACACTACTGTGATGCCTTTTAAGATAATTCCTTGGGATTCTGCATATATTAATATGCTTTCAAAGCATCTTTCCTTGTGTCAGAAATAACTGAACATATAATTTTCGAAGTCATATTCACAAAAGGAATATACCAATGTTCATATTAGTTTTATTAATAATACAATATGCTCTCTAGACCTTAAAATAAAAATAATAGCTGAAGGTGATGATATACACTTGTCATCCCAGTGTATCAGGAGTTCAAAGATAGGCCTGGCTAAATAGCAATTTTGAAGTCAGCTTGGGATACATAAGATCCTGTATCCAAAAAAAAAAGAGAGAAAGAAATGACACAAATAGCAATCAACAGTAGAATGTCTAATGAGCAGGATGGGCACAGAGCTAGTGACATTTCTCCATGTATGCAGGGTGAGTATGAAGATTTGTATATAAATATGTATTCATCAGGAACAGGAGCTCATCAAACTAACACTTAAAATGGAAATGGGTACATTCATTTTGCTGCATATAAATTACACTTGAGGAAATAGCTTTTTAAGATTTATTTTTATTGTTTTTAATTTTGTGTATGTGTGTTTGGCGTGTGTGCATGTGAGTGTAGATACATGCAGAGACCAGCAGAGGGTGCTGGGTGCTTTGGAGCTGAAGTCACAGGCCATTGGAAGCCTCTGGATGTGGGTGCTGGGAACTGAACTCTGGTCCTTTGGAAGAGTAGCATATGCTCTTAACCACTGAGTCATCCCTCAAGTCCCAGAAGTAGTGTTTTAAAGTTTTGAATTTTATTAAAAGGATAAATCTTTAACATAAAAAGAAGACATGAAAATGTCCAAAGGAAATTTAAAAGAACATTGTTACAAACTTACTACAAAAATACTTGAGTCAACATGACAGAGGGAAGCAAGACTCATAAGAGACAGAAATCAAAAACTGAAAATGTTAAATTATGCATAATATACCATATGATTGTATGGCAAAGAGCACCATGAGGGCAGGGGACAGAGTTGAGTGACAGAGCACTTAACTAAGGTTCAACACCCCTTCCAGGAAAAAAAAAAAGGGAACAGTCATTCAACATTGCAGTCTATTTGTTGAAGAATGGGACCCCCTGAGAAACATTGTTCTCTGATTGAAGTGGGAGAAAAGAATCCCCAGAACTCCTGGAGCTTAGGATGCTCCAGCGCTAAGCAGGCAGAGATAATGCCTGAATGCAGATGTTCAGGCTGCTGGGAAGACAGAGGGATGGGTAGAGACAGAAGCCTGTGAGCACAGCCAACACTGTTCAGCCACAGTGGGAAGGATTGGCTGGAGGCACCTTCACTTTTACCTTCATCAGTCTACAGCTTGAACTTAGCAGGCAATGCAATGCCATTTCTGTCCTGTCCACTCCCAGTCCTTTTTCCCTGTGGGGAGGTGAAGAATGAGTCAAAGGCTGAGTTGTACCCACTGTCATCAGGCCCTTAGATCTCAGAAGCCCTCTTCTCTTTAGATAGCTACCAATGAACGAAAAGAACTGTTGTTTGTGCATTGAAGCAACAAGGCTTGCTGTGTTAATTAGAAATTAAGACGGAGACTATACCAGAATGTTTGTGTTTTAAAAACCAACAGAGCTAAAGCAGGACTGATGTGTTAACATAAGAAAACTAGCTCATGAAAAAGCATCTGGATTTCATTCACTATTATGACAATGAAATGAGACAAGTAGGCTTTCTACATGTTCTCCAAAAGTCCGGCTTCACAAACGACAGTTGGCTTCTCATAGCTACTCCGTGGTGGTTGGTTGCTTTGGTTTAAGTATAGGAAGGAAATCAGGTCTTCAGTGGAGAAGAGAGGAGTCTTTTTTTTTTTTTTTTTTTTTTTTTTTTTTGGTTTTTCGAGACACGGTTTCTCTGTAGGTTTGGAGCCTGTCCTGGAACTCTTTATGAAGACCAGGCTGGCCTTTATGAAGACCAGAAATCGCCTGCCTCTGCCTTCCGAGTGCTGGGATTAAAGGCATGCACCACCATCGTCCAACGAGAGGAATTTTTCTTAATGCATTTTCAGATAACTAGGTATTCTCCTTCTACACCTTATCAAATGTCAGAAGTCATGGGTCACTAAAAATTTATTCAACATGGAGGGGTTTGAGGGATGGCTCAGCAGTTAAGAGCACTTGCCACTTTCTCAGAGGACCACAGTTTGGTTTACAGCACCCATGTTAGACAGCTCACAACCACCCGTAACTCCAGATCTAGGGGATCCAGCACCCTCTTCTGGTCTGAAGGCACTTCACTCATGTGCACACATCCAAAATACACTTAATTCAAAATAAAAATAAACCTTAAAATAAATACATAAAAGCACACACACACACACACACACACACACACACACACACACACACACACACATTTATGTATTCTAATGTACCATATCAAATCTCAGTAGGCTGTAGGTTGCCAAAATGTATTCGTGGTGAAATCAGAAGCCTCACCAATGAACTTGGACCTCACTAGGGCTTTAACTCTATAAGGTTATGGACTTCAGTATGTTGCCATATGGCATCTTACACTGGTCATCAGGGAAACGTCAGGTCCCTGAGTTATGCAGAACTTGCATCTGTTGCCACATTTCTTCATGCATGATTAGAAAATTCTCTTTGTTAAGTTCTCTACCATTCTCAAGAGGAAGGCGCCTACGTACTGGGAACTGTCAGGTTCAGGACGGCTGCTACAAGTGTCCCAAAATTCCAATTTTCATTTGAAAGCTTGAATTTTATCACTGGCAAAAATATACTGTCAGTTGCTCTCCTTGAAGTGACAGGCTTGCTTCGTTCATTTTTGAGAAAATGTCTAGCAAATATCCAAGTCTGAAGAGCTGTGGTGTGTCTGTCAGTCACTCTTTGACATAAAAATGGTGTTCCAGGGAAGGAGAAGTTCATTCAGCTCAAAACAGAAGCAATCATATGCATGCAAGTGCTTCTTGGGAGGAAGCACAGAACTCGTGGGTAGCGGAAACACTGATGCACACCGCCCGTGTCACCAGGCAGAAGATTAAAAGATGGACTTTTTACTGCTTGGTCAAAAGCACTTTTAAATCTTCCTGGCACATGTGTGTGTGTGTGTGTGTGTGTGTGTCTGTGTGTCTGTGTGTCTGTGTGTGTGTGTCTGTCTGTGTGGAAGCCAGAAGTCAATCATGTGTGTCATTTCCTCAGGTACTATCCACCTTATTTCATGATAGGGTTTCTCACGGGCCTGGAACTCATCAAAGAGGCTGGGCTGGCTGGCCAGAGCCCACCTATCTGTCACCTCTTCAACACTGGGATTGCAAATGCTCAGCACCCAGTGATTTTTTTTATATCTGTCCTGGGGATAGAACTCAGGTCTTGTTGCTTGCTTGAAAAGCACTTCAGCTCCTGAGCTATTTCTCCACATTTCTGAAACCAGCTTTCCACATCACATTGACAACTGGTGATAACTAGGACATCTTCCCACCCCAGAGAAACTGATACAGAGAGTCATAGGGGTCCAAGTCATGCAGAAGGTATTTGTGCTCCTGGGTATTGAATCTGTGCCCTGGGTTCCCCATTCCATTTCCCAGATGGCACCAAGAGCCAAAGAATACCCTCAGAGGGAAGCAAGGGCACAGCAGGTGAGGTAGGATGTCTGAGATGTCAGCACTGCTGAAGATAGTGAGGACTCACACAGTGGGAAAGGCAGTCTAAGGGTGTGACTTCAGGGTGAGAAGGTGTCCCAGCAAAACTAGAGCCAGAAAGACCTGTGTGTGTGTGTGTGTGTGTGTGTGTGTGTGTGTGTGTGTGTGTGTACCCATAAACACATGCATATATGCTCAAGATCAGAAGAGCACATCGAGAGTCCTTCTCTGTCACTCTTCACTTTATTCCCTCCAGACGGGGTCTCTCAATGAACCTGGAACTAGGTTTACTGCCAGAAAGCCACATGATCTCATAGCTTGGAAGTTATAGACACACACAGGACCATACCAGTTCTTTTGTTTGTTTGTTTGTTTGTTTGTTTGTTTTACAGGAGGGGACTGTTCTGGGGATTTGAACTCAGATCTACATGGTTATGCAGCAAGCATTGTTACCCGTGGATCCGTCTCCCCAGCCCACCCAGGCAAGTGGTTGCTTCAGCAGCACCTTTCTGACATATCTTAATTGTCACATGGAGGTGACCTGAGAAAATGCCAGCTCCAAAACAAGAGACTGAAGCGTGTGGTCATGAGCTGGGAGAAGCTTCAGTGGGCGTGACATTTCATCTTGGAACACAGAGTCACCTCTGCGGAATTATTTCACCAAGAGGCTCATGCCGGAAGTGTAGGATCTACATCTCATGATTCAGCATGAACAAGTGCAGAGGGGACAACTGGCAGCAGACACTGACTCAGGGGATAGACAGTGTGGCTCAGCACCCAAAGCAGCCTCTGTAGGACTAGCAGGGAAGTCAGACTGAGCAGGAAACCCCAGCTACCAAGGCAGAAAGAAAGAAAGACACCATGCTGAGCTTCTCTGGGAAGAAAGCGCAGGGTGGACCCTTAGCTGCCTGGCCACTCACAAGCAAGTCCTCTGCTCTGGAAGCATCTGGTCACTCACCAGCCACCCCACCCATATCCTAAGCTGTGCGCAGGGCTCAGGTAAAGACTAATGAGAACAATTCTTATTCTTGAACAGAGATCAGATCTGAATATCTGAGCTCTTCATCTAAACTGCTGTAGCCCAGGGAAGGTGATGATTGTGACAGAGGGCTGATAGAGTTTTAGAGGTCACCGGGAAAGATAATGGAGTCTGGGTGATGTAGCTTCAGGAAGTCCTTGGCCTTACAGCTGAGCCCTCGGCCACTGGAGCTGATTCTAGGCATCAGGGGGTGTTACAATGAGTTTCTGAAGTACAATGCCTTGCAGCTTTTGAGCACGAAACAGTTTTAGCACCTCTCTATGAAGGTGTGATCCTGCATTGAGATGTGCCTGCTGCCTTCTCATGTCCCCTAAACAATTGATTTGGAAGTCCAGGGCCAAGTCACTGATGCTAAACAGTGCTTTTCCATGTCACCCCCAGGTCAAAACTCTGTCGTGACTCTGCATTCAGAGTTGTTTTACAAATCGTCAGACCTGGGGAACATCTCAGACAAAAAGTGGGACTTCTGCTCAGAAGGCGTGAGGACTGTCAAAACATAAGTCCCCTAAGAACCCAGAGGATAACCATAGAAAGACTGGAGTGCACACAGGGCCAGACCTGTGTCTACATCTTAGAAGGCTGTAAGTCTGAAGAGTTCTGTGTCCTCTGTATCTAAAGAGGACATTGCCACATGGGAAACTTACAGAGGGCCAAGGAGAGCCAGGATAGTATTGGGGTTGCTGATGTGAAAGACTTGGCCCAGAAGATTCTGCAGAAGCTAGACCCCAGAGGGGCAGTGTGGTGCCTTCTCTTTGAAGCTCTTCAAACATGGGAAGACCCCAGAGAACCAGACAATTCCCTCACTGAGAGCCCCTTCCTGGGTGAGTCTATATTGTGTCATGTAGAGACGTGAAACTAACCATCACACCCACAGACCTAAAATATTTACACAGAGGACAGCTCTTCACCTTGAGTTCCAGGAAATGAACTGCTAACAACAGTGGGCTCGTAGGTGCTGCCTGACTGAGGGATTGTGTGACAGCTGAAGGTAATTCACTGAGCGTGTTTACCAAACCCTTGTCACATCCTATGTCTGATCAGTCACAGCTACTGATGAGAAGGAAGTGGAGAACAGCATACAGGGAACAGCAGTTATGGGAGCATGTGGGAAGGCTCCATGGAAGAGCTGATGTCTGAGAGAAAATACCAAGGATAAGTTGTCATTAACTAGGAGCCTTGGTTGCAGAGGTTGGGGATGCTGTATTAAAATCAAAAGATACAGTAACCATAGTGCTTCAAAACAACCTCAGCACTGCTGGAGAGATGGCCTTGAGAGAAGATGCTGGGGTAGGAACAGTGGTATGGATCTTTAATCCCAGCACTTGGGAAGCAGGAGCAAGTAGATATGTTAGATCAAGGGCAGCTTGGTCTACATAGTAAGACCCTGCCTTAAAAAAGCAGAATAGGGAGGGGAGGGCAGGGGGACAAGAGATGGGAGGGGAAGGTTGAGGAGGGGAGGGCAGGGGAAGAGGTATAGTAGGTAGCCATTCAGAGGCAACAGAGTCAAAGCATGTGGGGTCTATCCTCTGACCAGCAGGAATTCAGAAAGGTTGAAGGTTATTGATACAATAAGGCTTATACAATCAGGCTCAGAAATGTTCTGACTGCTGTGGGAGACATCAGAGAGCAGGAGTAGAGGTGGGGGACCTGTGAGAAGCTACTAAGATCATCTGGGAGACAGACAAAAGTGGTCCAGATGAGGACTGTGCAGTGAGGACCAAGAACTGAGGGATATCGTGTCAGAAGATCCCAGGTGGGATGGATAAAGGAGGGACATTGAAAACAAGCCCCAGTTTCCTTCCTCAGGCAAGCGGATGCTGGCGTGTCACTCTCCAAAAATAAAGGATACAGATGATCAGGCTGGGCAAGGACAAATCAAGAACAGGAAGTGGGTGGGACCATGGTGTTGGGGGCAGGAAGAAGAGGCCACACCATCAAGTTAGCCGACAGTGGGGCAGTAAAGGCTGTGGTGATGGCATGGGCAGGACTAGGAAGCAATGAAAGATGGTGCGAACTGTTGGAAAAAGGGGATGTGATACCAGCCATACTTCAGACACTGGCTGTAACCCTAATCCTAATCAGTATTCCACTTCTACTTCCCTCTCAGATTCCTGATGTTCGGATGAGCCAGCTTCCTGTTTCAACCACCCGCTGCCATGCTCCCCATCGCTACTGACTTAACCCTCTGGAACTGTTAGCCAAAATGAACTTTCTTCTTTAAGTTGCTTCTAGTCATGACATTTCATCACAGAAAAGTACCTAATAATCCAGGTCATAACAAAACCCAACTGAACTAACTAGGAGTAGGATGAGCCTGAGAACACCTGAGCCCTTCAGCCCCTATTCCCCAGCTTTATCCATTAACAGTGTAATAGTAACATTATATGGGATGAAGATTGCCATGCTGCAGTCAGGGATTGGTGTATTAAAGTACATAATGATGTGAATTGCTTCTCCTCCCACCTCTGCAGAGGTTTCTACGAATGTTTGCCTTGTCTCCTCTGTTGACAAAGAAAAATTTTAAACCTATAAACACAAAGGAAGGTGTAGGGGAAGCTGTAGCCACGCCTTCTTAGGGGCTGGCTACAGGAGTACCTGAGGGCTTGTGAGGGCGTGGTCAGAGTGAGTAGGGGGACTGTTTTCGGTTTCGGTTTCTCTTTGCTTCTTGCTGTACAGACTACCACCGGCTGGCTGGTTCGCTCTGTAAGTAAGGCTTTTCCCTATTAAATGCCCTTATATTTCTACCTGACTCCGTATTGGTAATTACCTACTATAGGAAGGAGCTGAGGTAGGGACTAGGTCACCCTTCTTTGAAGATAAGACATAACTATGCGCCTCTTATGGCTTGTTTTCATCTGCAGTCTGTTTAAAAGTGATGCTCAGACCCCCTCCAACAGGACAGAGAGAGTGCTTTCATAGATAGCATCACACTGGTACATAAAATAAATGGAATGGCTTTTTAGTTGGGTTGGTGAATCCTTGTTTGGGAGTTTGTTTTAATTAGTTCAAGCTCTAGCTACCTAAGTCATAGTAGAATAAATAAATAAATCACACTTGTTTGTGAGGAAGAAGAGGAAGAAGATGAGAAGGAAACAAGGAGGAGGAGGAGCAATAGAACGAGGAGGACGTTCAGCCACTAGCTGAGAACTAAAGAGGACATTCTATTTTTTCCCAGAATCTTTAAGCCATTCTAGTTTGACAGGAATTATTTTATCGTCAACAGATTTGTTACAGATTTATGAACCATTTTAACCTCTCTCTGCTGTACTGGAAACGTTTTCTGGGAAGGCACTGGAAGAGATTGTACAAAGCACTTGGACTTGTGGCAGCTGTCCCATCATCCCTGGAGAGTTCCCAGGAGGACTCAGCTCTCCACCAAACTTCCCCAGAGCCATGCCTCTGGTCTGTGGACGGCAGCAGATTCAGGACGTTTGTAAGTCATCTTTATAATACAAAAACAGAGCTCATTCATGCCCACTGACCTATGAAAGTGAAAGAAGTGATGTGCCCACATTTTTAAAAGGGAAAGGAATAAAGTTTTCTTTATGGAAATATATTGTAAGCACTTTGTATTCCAGCACTGATCAAACACCCCAAAATGATTAGCTGATGTACTTTTCTTAACCAAAATTCACCACTGACATTCCATAGAGGGCAGAGCTGCATCAATTAGAAACTGCAAGAAGGAGAAGTGCCAGTGCTTCAGTTGTAGATTCTACGGTGTCATAGACTAGTAATCTTTCCAGAGAGTTTCAGAGCCCAGAGAAAGGATTTCACTCCCTGCTAGCACTTTCCTTGCACAGTGAGTGGAAACATTTGCTTTCGTGCACAAATGTCATCATTTCACTGGAGCATAGGGAACTTAGAAAAAAATCATTTAGCCAAAACCTACTGTCTTTTTCCCATGGAACTACATGTCTTCATTCAAGTTTTCAAGCAATGATTAGATACCTTATGTATACCATACCTCTGATCCTATCTTTTCAGGACAGAATTAAACCAATGAGGCTCCGGGGACCCAACCAGGTGTCTGCAGATTTTCTGTGTTAGATCTACACGCAGAAAGACCATAGCAAATGAAAACAAATTCTTCATTTACAAAAAAAGCCCTAACATTACAAGAAGCATAAAGAAGGGCAAAATACAATCATTGTCTCAGATTTTAAGAATGTAAAAAGAATTGTGTTCATGCAATATTCAAAGAAATAGTATTCTTTCTTAAGAAAATATCATGCATTTGGTTGTAAGGGGCACATGAAAACTGTAGGTCTTGATCCACTTCCTTGTGAACCCAAAACTGCTCTAAAATGAAACCCCGATGTCTTGTATATGGTATAAAACAGGACTTGATGAAATTAGTTAAATCCTAAACAATGAGGGATTTAAGTGCACCGTGTCCCTGCCCTTGCAAATATTTATCTATCTCATCACTGGTAAGAAGATAGGGGTGTCTGGGAAAGATGGGAGTCATCTCCTTCATCTCTGCCCAGTAGACTGCTCATGAAGCTGGCAGAGAACAGCCTGGCAGGGCATGGGTTAGAAATGTTTCTTGTCACAGATCTGGGACAAGTCTGAATCCATCCTAGCACAGAACTGACACTGTGCTTTGATCAAAACACTAGCTAATTCAGGAATTTCTCTATAGAACACAAGCCTGAACAAAGAAAATGCCAACCACTCTGACATTACAGCCAGTGACCTTGGAGGTTTGTTCCTCCACATTTCCATGTAACTGCTGGATGTTGAGTGCAGGGCTTAGCCCTGGACAGGCAACAGGGCAAGGGACTAGCCAGTCTGGGAAGCAGGGAAGGGACTCCAATCACAGTAATGGGAGTGAATGTTGCCAGGACTTGGAGACGATTTGGGGCAATTATTTCCTATGCTGAAGGTCAGGAAGACTTTATAGAGATGAGGTTTGATTTCATCTTTGAAAGGAGCCTGGAGCCCAGGAATAGCACAGACAAAGACAGGTGATTTTTATGATTAGAGTCATACACATATGATATTTACAGTTTTGTATGTTTATATCCAATCACACAATGAAATAAATGAATATACACACATATAAATAATATCTATTATTTAGGAATATTCATGGGTTAGGCAATGTTTTTTTAACTTTTGAGAACTTTTTTTTTTGCTTGTTTTGTTTTTATTAGTTCAAATTAGTAACAAGCTTGCTTCACATGTCAATCCCTTCCCCCCCCCCCTCCCCCCCCCCTCAACATCCCACCTGCCCCTAGCCATCCCCCCTCCACTCCCCAGGCAGGGTAAGGCCCTCAAAAGGGGCTCCCCAAAGTCTACCACATCATCCTGGGCCAGTAGGCAAAATTTTTTTAAATAGTTTTAGAATGTTTAGGTTAGTTTCTCAGACCACAAGATGATAAAATTGCAAATGCCTAATAATAAAAATTCAACCAGGAAATTAAAGTGTTTCCACCCTATAGATAAGATCTGAGACAAGGGAAACCCAGACTGCAATTACAGAATGATTGCATGGAAACTTGGAATGCAAAGCCCATTCAGTCCAACTCACACTCACATATGTTCTTAATTAGTAAATCAAAAAGCTAGACATATGCATGAATTAGGAATATGCTTACTATTCACTAAAAAAGTAGGAAGTTTTGAGGGTGATGAGTGAGCACCCTGGGGAAGCCACGGTAACAAAATTAAGCTACAATAATGAGACTAGAATGTATAGAAAACAAAGCTCAAAGCCATGTGAGGTAGTACACAACTTAGTCCCAATTTTTGTGAGGCTAAGGCAGAGGAGTGCCATGAGTTCAAGGCCAGCCAGTGTTAACAGATCAAGACTTTGTCTTGTGTCAAAAACCAACCAACCAAACAAAAACAAACAGCAGTGGCAGTAGCAGCAACAAAACAACAACAAAATCAGCAGGACAGAACTTTCTAGAAAACCTAAGCTAGAAAGGGGATCAACAAGGAAACCATATCCCAGTGAAGCCCAAGAACAAATGCACAGTCATTACAAATGCATGTTGTAAAGAATCCTACCATGGGACTTTAAAGCGTGAATGAAATGAGCCATTCTCCAGGAAAGCACACAGAAACCAAAGTCAGCTCAGAAGGAAGCGGGAGGCTCAAGGAAGTCAAAACAATTACTACATCTGCCAAGCTTCAACCCAAATGATCTGGGGGCAAATTTTAAATCTATAAAGGATTCATCTCCAAAGTTCAACAGGAAAGCCCGCCCTGTTCCAAATAGGCTCCCTGAGTCCTGCCGACATCCCAAGTTTCTGTGTGATTTTAAGTATTCACGATCAGAGGAAAACAAGAAAAATATCCCCACTTATTTTTCCAGCATAATAGAGTCACATTAATCATCACTACATGGAGAACCATGACCACATTGAGTGTCCTTAAATGACTACCACTCATTATCACCCAAGGCCTGTGGGTCAGAACTCAGGAGGGACTTGTGGGCAGTCCTCCCTTGGAGCTAACTCAAGGCTGTAGCTCTGTTCTCTGGGCCATTGGCAGAGCTCCATTCATGCCTAGCTTCTTGCCTCAGGTTTTTACCATATAAGCTTCCCATAGGCTGTTGCTTGAGTCCCCTCATGACGTGGTAGTTGACTTTTCCAAGGATGAGGAATATGAAAAAGAACCCGGGGTTGGTCACAGTGGTTTTAAGACCTAGGCTGAGCAATCCCTTACATCATTAATTAAAGGACAATCACTTAGCCCTGTCCAAACTCAAGGGGTGATTTTTAAAAGTCTAGCTGTTAAAGGAAGGTCTATCAAATAAATACTCATGGGTATATTTCAATTATTTAAAAATTTCATACATATAAAAATGTATTGATCATATCCACCCCCACTTTCCCATCCCAGGTCCTCCCAATCCCTCCACCATGCCCCCCAAGCTTCATATCATAATTCTTTTAACCCCCTCCAGTCCAATTAGAGCCATTCATATGTGCCTGAGTGCAGGGCCATCCACTGAAGCATGGGCAATTTACCATCCCTGAAGAACACTAAGACTTTTCCTCTCCTAGCAGCCATCAACCACAAATAGCCCCTCTCCAGGGGTGGGATATTTTGTGTCTGTCCCCATCAATGCTGGGAGTTTGGTTTGATTTTGTTCAGGCTTCCACAGCCACTGTGAATTCATGAGTATAGTGGCCCTGTCATGTCCAAAAAGACACTTCCACAGAAGTCCTCTGCAACCTCTGCCACTCATTCTGCTCCCAGTGACATGACAGAGTGTGATACAGACATCCCATTTGTGGCTGAGCACTCCATAGCCAATTAACTTATTCTCTGCATTTTGACTAGATATGTCAAAATAACCACTGTAATAACCACTGCCCACTGGGGGAGGGGGAGCTTCTCTGATAAGAACAGAATGATGAGGACGATGGATGTATTTCCAAACCCCAGCATAGCCTACTGATTGACTGCAAATTACCTGCCTTTCACACCCACCCTACTCCACCATCTGTTCTTTACAACATCAGTGAGCATTCCAGGCTGTTTTCCTTAAGTTGAGTCGTCATGGAAGGAGGCTCCTTGGATGTAACTTTCAGCACATCTCAAA